AATACGCGCAGTCGGCAATGTGGTTAAAAGAAGATAGCGCGTCGACCTGTTATTGTTTAATTAACCTTTTATCAATCAGGTGGTTCGCGCCTATATAACATAGATGAGAAAAGCAGTAGGTACGTAGGTACGCTATGTACCTAATAAAGATATTGTGTTAAAGCAAAAATATCTAAAATACACCTACATGCGTCGCAAATGACAAAAAACATAATACCTCAATACTTTTAACAACGTTATGAAGTTATATGAATGTTAGTTTAATTATAATCGAGGTTGTCAGTTATAAGTCTAATTAACTTGAGAACGCCTACGTGATAACAATAGCAATTTCAAAGTAAATATTATTTCTCTGGTAAACTTTATCAGGAGATAACTCTCAAGGAGGTAACTGTAGGGTAGCCAGATGGTCAGACATTGTCTGGATTCAGAGGCGGCGTAAGGCGTGGGCGACGTGGGTCGCCCGCCTACGGGCTTACGGTACAAGGGGCCTCGCGCCTCAAACTTTTTTATGCATTGCTTAAAAGCGAATTTCTTTTTTTTTTTCATTTTAAAAAATCCTTCTTCAGGTCGCCACAGAACATGACCTCGCGAAATCTGTCTTGCCCACATCAAATTTAGGTCTTGCCCCGCCACTGTCTGGATTCTCCTGACATTTTATGAAGTGTGATTTGTAGAAAATGCTTTAGAAATCTTCTTTTATATAACTTTTGTCAACTGGATGTATTGAGGACGGAGCACAAACCTGATCAACATTTAAGTATCTGGTATGATACTAATCGACACATTTCCGATGGTAATCATGATCTCCACGATGAACTGTACCCTAAGTACGAGTTTTACAATTACGAAAACTATGCTAGTTTTCTTGAGCTCGCACTCGTACTAAGGGTACTGATTTTATTGTTTTCGTTTCAATAAAAATAAACAGTGTTTAAATTCTATTATTAAATCATTTGCGTCTTCTTAAATTTTAAGTATATTTGGTTACTTTTCACCGAAATGGACATAGAAACTTAGTTTACAATTACGAAAACTATGATAGTTTTCGTGAGCTCAAACTCGTACTAAGGGTACTGTTAGTTCTCAGTGTGCGCATGTTGTAGATAGTCAGGGCAAGTCTTCATAGATGGTAGATCTTAGGATGTTGAAGTACCATGGTAAGGCGATCTCCAGACTCCCGACAAATAACGAAATCCTCTGAAAATGACAAAGAACAAATATGACGATGCAGACCCTGTGCCTAGGGTTATCATATCTCAGGATTTGTTCTAAGATTTCAGGATTTTTGGACTCTTCTCAGGATTGCGGCTGGATTTTGCAAATCTCATGAAATCTCAGGATTTTTTGAATTTCCAATAAAATACAGCTTACGTTTTAAAGTCGTCTCTTTAATAAAAAGTTAAACAAACTAAAAATATCATTTATTGGTAATAAATTGCACAATTAAAATCAGTACTTTATTATCCTAGTTAATCTTAACTTAATCAGTTTTATCATACTTAATATGTGAAGATACATTTTTAAGTAAGGTTTTTTCTTTAATTAAGGATGCATATAATGCCTACATGTTAAGCTCTTCAAATTATATTGATTTAAAAGTTTAAGCAGATTATAAACGATAATATTAGGACTTTTTTAAATTGTTAAGTACGTTTGAGAGAAAATTCTGTAACTGTAAAAAATCTCAGGATTTTTCAAGGGAAATTAAGCCTTTTCTCCGGACTTTTGATTTTATCATCTGGTAACCCTACCTGTGCCGCAACATTACTTGGAAATAGTACACGAGAATTGATCTCATGTACTGTTCGCGTCCATCTTAAGTAGGACGTGTAACGTCCAGTAAGTTATGCACATATTTTGACTTCTCAGTCTGCCATCTCTATATATTATATCTTTAACACAATCCAATCTAGCGATTTCAAAGCGAGTGCGTAGCGAGCTTGCCGCGAATGGCGCCGTCAATGCCATTTTGTACATTAGCGTTCAGCAGCCGTTACTAAACAATATACGTTGTGGATAATGTTTCACTTTTCGTTTCCTGCGTTTTCGAAGAGTTCGAAGTAACAAACTTATATTGAAATAAATGGCGTAAATGTATGTAATTTGCGTAACAAAAGGCAGATTAATTCTCCGCGTCGCTGTTCTCGATACCGGACGTCATTTGTAATGTTTAGGAAATATCTAAATATTTCATATTAAGCTGTAAAAACGATATAATCTATAATATTATATTATATTAGGAGCTCGAAAGAGCAAGTGGTTAGCGCGTTTGGCTGAAATCGGTGAAGTTAAGCAACTTTCGCAGTGGTCGGTCATTGGATGGGTGACCAAAAATTTACTATCTCGTGTTCCTCCGTCGGAAGGCACGTTAAGCCGTTGGTCCCGGCTGTATCTGCAGTCATTAGCACCCGCCAATCCGCGTGGTAGGTCATGGCCCAATCTCCCTATTCCATCCATAGGGAAGGCTATAGGTTCCATTAATAGGCTGATGATGATGATGATGATATTAATATTCTTCCAGATACATCTATTAGCCCACCTAGCATTTTCAGTTTTGATTTGAAGGACCCAAGCTAAAAATAAAGTTATATTGAGATTGAAAAGCTTTACGCAGTTTTGGAGCTCATTTATTAACCATCTTTTTCGTTTGTCCTAAATAATTACTTTATTATTGCTCAACCTAACATATATTATTGCTACAAACTGTTAAAACTTACGTGGGCCGATAGATGTGTCCGAGAGTGTAGTTGACCGGGGGATCCCACCCCATGCTTTTTACACCACTTATTCATCATCATCAGCCTATTAATGTCCCCACTGCTGGGGCACAGGCCTTCCTTATGGATGGAATAGGGAGATTGGGCCATGACCCACCACGCGGGCCCCCACCCACCAGCTGGTACTCTATAGCATCATAAGGACATACATTACCTAGATTACTACCAGAAGTGTAAGATAATCCGCCTACCCCGACGACGAAATCACCCGCGCCAACGCGCCTCCGATTCCTCCCACACAGGCCACAAACACCAACACTACATAGCTAGCAAACGTGCACACTAGCTTAGCATTAGGCAGACACCGCACCCGTAGGATAAGACCCGGTCTACACACGACACGCTATACCAGGTATAGGTACGTACCTGGGCGTTTTTCCCCGCCCCCCACGACAACGGCTAACTAGAACACAGGTCCGAGTCTCAGAGACGCTCTCTACTTGAGCCGATCCCCTCAGGTTCGAGTGGTCTGGAGGCTCCAGACGGAGAGGAGACTCCCCCAATGGGGAGACGCCACCCGCCTGGAATACCTCTAGAGGCACTCGCCAATTCTCGGCTTGATGTCCCCTTAGGATCTCGCCGTCCCCAAACCCGGTGACGCTGTAAAGGTCATCTGCGACCAACAGCATACACACTCAAAAAAAAAAAAGATAATCCGGGAGTAAACAGACACAATAGAAAATATCGTTTCTTCGTTTTAAAATTCAATTTACAGTGTGGGTTGATATTGTAATTTTATGAGATTAGGCTCATCACTATTATAATATGCCTATTATTAAGTGCTTATTAATTAACATTGTCATTTAGTTTTAATGTTATTACCTGTCCGCAAACAAAAACTGTGACTTCATATTTGTATTAAAATAACTAGTTATATGCATATATTAATGAATGCATGAATATGTATCTTTATACAGACGATATAAAGGACATGGTAGTTTTGTATGAGTGACTGCCCTGACAATGTATAAGTACTGTACTTAGTAATATTTAATGGTGAATGGATGAATATTTATAATTTCAACAATCTTGTAAATTATGAAAACTCCTACTATGTCATTACCTTACTACAGTTGATAAAAGATGTTGCCAATTATTTACAGAGTCATCAATTTCGCATTTTCTTAGAATCTTTCTTCCCATTTCTCTGATTAACACTCCACAAAAAAGTATTTTTAATGCAAAAATAAACACAAATAATTTGTTATCATTGGCCTGACACAAAATCTGTGAAGTTTTATTTTGTTCATTTGCAAAAATCAAAGGATTAATTTATCATACAGTCCAGTCTCAAGCCTGATCAGAAAAATATAATATATTATTTTAGGCCTTCAGTGACTTGTAATAATAAAAATTAGGGCCAAACATATCATAGTTTTTAGGAGTTTAGAAATTAATATTGTTTATTTCGATATACTTACAGAAATATTTATTGTGAACATTTATTTTTATAAAACGGAACATTTTCTTTTGGAAACAGACATGAAGTAAATTTTTTAACTTTTAAATATTTCATTATTTCACGAAAGTTGTATGAGAATAATAAACACGTTATAATTAATAAGAAATTATTATAATGTTACGGGCTAGTGCAAAATAATTATACAAGTTAAGGGCAGTTTCTTAGCCATGTCCTTTGAATGAAATTATGTAATTAGAAAAGTTTGGTTTCGATAATCTACCTAAAAATATGTTATAGTATTCCTAAAAAAAAAAAAATATTGAACCAAAATCGGTTGCTAAAACAGCAAAAGTCAATTATTACTGCAAATTAATTAATATGCAAGAAAAACTACGCCTCAATCGAGTGTATGTGAGTTCAATACAAATCCCAAATAAATACCAATTCGATGTAAAGAATAATCAAAAATTTTTTTTTCCATTATTCTTAATTTTGAGAGAGTAAATATTACCTAGAAATAGAATAACAAAATATTAGTTAATCATTTATTTTTATGATATGATTACTTTCCTAAATAATAAACTTAAAAGAAAACTTGCCCAGAAAAGTCAGCTAGTTCAACCACTTCAAATATTCTATAATAAAGTAACTATAAGTTTTTAACTTATCTGAATCTTGTTTAAGGACTATTCCACTTATTTCAAGTAATTGTCTCTTAAATATAATAAATAAGAACTTTTATATCTACTAAAACCTAAAATAACTTTTCTTTTTTCATTGGAGAACTTTTATGATTGATTGAAATGAAATAAAGTCTTCGGTTTTTAAATAACTTTATATTATTTAACCTAATCACATTTTATTTTATGAAAATAAAACAGTCGAACACATTCACAGGCTTACACTTAGCACATACGTACATTAATAATACATTTTGAGACCTTTTTTTTCTTAACACTTCACATACGATATATTTTTTTGTATACAACTTATTATATCACAATCCGAAATCACGAACTATTGCCGAGACCCATGTTCATAGCATTCAATATGTCACCATTGTCCGCGTCAATTTCCCACGCGAACAAACCACCCAATTTGTTATTTCTGACGTATTTGCCTTTCTCTATAACTGATCTGGCATCGTCGTACGTTATTAGATCTCCGGTGGCCTTCCTGAACACGTATGGCGCTTGTGCCACCTTATCATAATGGTACTCCCATTTCCCAGCAGCTATATCATCTGCTATTTCTCTGTAGTCCACCACACCGTCTTGCCAAGTACCTTTAACAGGACCCGTTGCATTGCCAGTGAAAGGATTGTCACCTTCATAACCGTGGACACCGGTCCAGCCACGTCCGTACATGGCAACACCAACCACAATCTTCTTAGGATTCACACCTTGCGCCAACAAGTATTTCACGCCGAAATCAGTCGTGTAAGTCTCCTTCGGCTGCCAAGATGGAGCGTACAGAGAAGCCTGGTGACCAAGAGTATCATTGGACCACGCTCCCTTGAAATCGTAGGTCATGAAGAATATGTGGTCCATGTATTTCTGCGCTGCGCTGTAATCGACGACTTGGATCTTGTCCCAACCAGCACTGATGGCAGACGTCAACTCGTATTTCCTTCCAGTCTCCGCAGAGAGCTCGTTCAACATCTCGCGCAGTTCCTTCATCAGAAGCACGTAGATTTCGCCGTCTTTGGGACTGCCGAGATTGGGGTTAGCGCCTTTACCTCCAGGGAACTCCCAATCGATATCGACGCCGTCAAAGAATTTCCAGGTCTGGAGGAAGTCTTTTACGGAAGCAACGAAACGGTCACGCTTTGTCTTGTCAGTGAAGAAAAAGAATGGATCAGCCAAAGTCCAACCGCCGACGGAAGGCAAAATCTTGAGGTCTGGTCTCGCCTGTTTCAACATCATCAGTTGGCCGAAATTTCCTTTGTAAGGTTCGTTCCATGAAGAAAGGCCCTTTTGTGGTTTCTGAAGAGCGGCCCAGGGGTCATGAATGGACACTTTGAAGTCTTCGCGGCCGCTGCAGGAACGCTGGAGCGCCTGGAAACTGCCCTCAATCTCCTTCAGACTGTCGTTGATGCCGTCGCCTCCGCAGATCGGAATGAACCCGTACAACAAGTGAGTCAGATTGGGGATCGGCACGCGGTCCACGGGGAACTTCCTCGGATACACTCCCCATTCTACAAAGTAAGCACCGAGTACTTTCCCTGAGGTTTGCTTGAATCTCTTATTCTTTTCTCCAATGCTGAAGTCCAGGGGGGGTAAGTGGCTGCCGTCTGTGTCGGCGACTACTATCTCGGTGGGGTCGCTTGAGCTGCATCCGTCAGAGTTGCAAAGTTCGACGACCATCTGGTACCTGCCTCCTTGCTTGACCTTGAAGGCTGCAGAGCCCGAAGCACCAGCGGCGCCGGTCCAGAACTCCTTGCCGTTTAGGAGTACTCTTGCTTTGTCTGCCGGGTCTCCGGACCAGACGTTCCAGGTTACTGAGACGTCAGCGGAATCCCTCTTGGTGACAAGCTGGTTGTAAGCAGTGGCCGCTTGGTTGACTTCAACAATGGCGAAGGTGCGCTCGCCCCATCCCAGCTGGGGTTTCCCTGGTGGTGCGCATTGCGCGCTTGCGAGGAACGCGCCTACGACGAAAGCCCACACTGGTCCCATGTTTCTAGAAAATAAATAAATAAATAAGCTTTTTTCAAATTAAATGCCGGACGCGCCCTCACATTTGAGCGACCGTCTTGTACTGAATCTGCATCCGCGCGTTATCTTATATATAGCGTTTGTATTGTGGGACAACCGCTAGCGTCGAGGAGCCCGTATTGTTACGAATACTGGTACAATTTTGAGTGCTCAATAAAATCGTTAACCCAGTTGTTTGTCCCGGTCATGTAAGTGGGACGGTCAAGGCAACCTATAGATTTTAATTGTTTTTTGATAGTTTGTTTTGGAATTTTTTCTTTATTATTATTATGCATGATAATGAGATACGTCCTACTTGAGTCACGGTTAAATCATCGTGTTATCTCTAACATTTTTTTAAACAACTGGCCTGGCACTCCTAGTATATAGTCTCATTTATTTCCACGTGTTTAATAAAAACGCAAAGGTAAGTTACGTTTGACAAATTTTATTGTCGTGTGTTAACAAAGATGTTGTGTAACTTGACTCTGCTCCCTAATTAGCTTGTTGTAGAAAACAAAAAGTACATTAATACTCGTGAGAATTTCAGATATTAACTGTTGTATATTTACTTTCTTTATTTGAGATACAATATAAATAAAGCACACAGAATACACTGTGTCAATGTCATACTGTATACATAAAAAACACAAATAACGTCTTCGTAAATGTGTCACTTCGATAAAGAAGGGTAAACTAACCAAAGCTTTCTAATTTAAGGCAGGTTTTTAAATGATTATGCTACATAAGTTACACTTAAGTGTTACGGGTAGAAGCTTTTCAAATTATAAATAACTTGATGCTCGCGACTTCGTCTGCTTATTAAAATTGGTTTCCCATACAATTACCCCCCCCCCCCCTTTACCCCCTTACAGGATAATGTCTGGGATAAAATATATCCTATGTCCTTTCCCGGGACCAAAAACATCTCTATACCAAATTCTATAACATAGCATTCTATATATTCAGCGGTTTGAACACGAAGAGAAGAGAAGAGTAATAGACGGACAGACAGACACACATTTATTTACGCATTTATAATATGTATGCGTATTGATGCTTAGAAATACGTAAAACATTGATTGTCCACTAACAGCACAGATACCAGATCTCGACACCTTTATGCCGCAATTGCATTTGGTCGTTAGCTCGTAACGGGTGCACGAAAGCCATTACTCGAATTCGGGCACCCGAAGCAATATTTACACTGAAATACTGGCTGGAAGACGGTGACGGGTGAACAATAAAAGGAAATCTGTCCGAATACGGGAGTACTCTACACCGTTATTTTAAACTAAGTCGTTTACCGGAATTCGTCGTTTAGAAAAACAAAATTAGGCGCGAATTCACCGGTACCAAGATTATGCAGGCTTCTTAATGAACATAATTATGTTGCGAGATCAATTGATCTCCATTGTGACTCATTTGCCAGGTTCGAATCTTTGCTCATGAAAAAATGGAAGTAGTGCAACAGAATGGGCACTATTAGATGTATTGTTTTGAGGTCTTTTAAAATGCTGTATCTGTACTTGTTATTATAAATCTATATATATAAAACTCAAAGGTGACTGACTCACATAGTGATCTATCAACGCACAGCCCAAACCACTGGACGGATCGGGCTGAAATTTGGCATGCAGGTAGATGTTATGACGTAGGCATCGACTAAGAAAGGATTTTGATCAATTCTAGCCCCAAGGGGATAAAATAGGGAATGAAAGTTTGTATGAAACTTTGTCAATTTTAAACCGATCGGGCTAAGACTTTGCATGCAGGTATGAGAAGAATCATAGATGAATGTCATTGTGTCTAATACAAGCTTGAGAACAAAAACGTTACCCCCGGAAACCCCCTTTTGGGGTCAAAAAGTATGTGCAAATAACTAACTCCACGCGTACGAAGTCGCGGGCGACCGCTAGTAATAGATATAGTCGTTAATTTATAAGTACATTTAATCAACATTTAATATGTTTCCCATGCATGTGGTGTTTTCCTATAAATGTTTGTTACACTCATGTAATAAGTCGCAAATGTTTCAATTTATTTTATGTAAGTGATAACAAATGTTGGAAGACATTTTAAATAAATAAAAATAAAAAAAATAAAATCATTGGCACTCGTATTCGGGCTAACGACCAAGTATAATCGAGCCATCACTATAAATAAAATTTAAATTTAATTTCAAATATTAAGAACCTGGACCAAGTAGGTATAGTTATTTTGGTAAAATTTTCTTAAGATATAAACTTAAGCAGTTCAATACTTAAAAATTTAAACGCATAAAAAAAAGGGTTCGGAATATTATAAAAATGGTAGATTCTCCTGTGCTTTTATCATTTTAATTAATATTTTTCACTTTGCTTGATAAACTTTTTATAATGGACATTGGAAATGAAAAAAAATGAGTGGTTTGAATTGTTCAAGCGAGTAATTTGAAATATATTTTTGTAAAAAAAAAAATCTTGAGTAATTTTTATGACTAAATTAACTTTTTTACAAAAACATAAGAATAAGTGGGTAAGATTTGATTGTAAATTTTATAATTAACTCGATTCATATCAGTAAGATATATAAAATTAGATGTCTTAGATAAATATTTAAAATTGTATTGTCTTGTAAGTTTCAATTTGTATTTAACTTGAAATATTGATCTTTTTTACTTTGTTATTTCAAATAATGTGTTCGTACTTAGAGCATTTACCAATGCGTATATTTAAAACAAAATACTGATCTAATATTGACTTACTAACGAATGTTTGTTCAATAACAGCACAACCTACACACATAGTCTGATACACACTAAGAAATATACTTAAATTAAAAAAAAAATAAGGAAAAAATTCTTAAATTCATATCTTACAAGAGCAAACCAATTAAATATTTAGTTTTTTATTGTTTATCTTAATCGTCGTAACAATTGAGCCTAATTAATATTAAAACTTTTTATCTTCAGATTTTGTTATAACTCGGTTAATTAAAGAATGTGATAGAAAATGGCGGCAATATGGGTACTATTTACTTCTTAGTGTTTGTTTTTTGATAAACTCGATCACAGTGAATTCGGGTTACCTAATATTTCCGTTAATTGTTTTATATATATCTAATATATAAAATTCTCGTGTCGCGGTGTTTGTGGTTAAACTCCTCCGAAACGGCTCGACCGATTTTCTTGAATTTTTTTTGCATATTCAGTAGTTCTGAGAATCGGATGTAATCTATTTTTCATCCCCCTAAATGTTAAGGGTAATCCAGCCCTAATTTTTTTTTTAAATTTTAGATTTTTTTTTTAATTTTTGATTTTTGATTCATCATACAAAAATACATACAACCCTAAATTTTCACCCTTCTACCACCAACCTCTACTTTTTTATGGCGGTACGAAGTTCGCTGGGACAGCTAGTATATATATAATATATATATATACCAAGCCACTCAGAAAGTTTTGCGAAAAAAAGTTTTTATGTATAAGGCACTGGCCACTTGTAATTATTTTGAAAACTTCGATTATTTAAAAGTAAAAATACCACTGTTCGATTTTCAAATTTCCCTCCGCATTTATTCTAGAGCCAATTAATTTTTTCTTGTCTCATTAAAAAATGGATCTGCATCGAGAACATTTTCGTGCAATGATTTTTTACGATTTTAAATGTGGCTTAAAACCTGTTTTGAGAACCTGTCATTTGATCTATTTCGAACTGCTTTTATGGATGAAGGACCTTCAAAAGCCACCATCTGCCGCTGGTGTAGCGAGTTCAAATGCGGTCGTCCAACATTGGGGGATGAACAAAGGAGTGGTCGTTCTACGACGGCTGTCACCGAAGAAAGTGTGCTGGCAGTAAAAAAATCATTCAAGAAAACAGACGAATTACGTACGAACAGATTCAGCATACTCTGCAGATTGGTTCAGGAAGTGTTCACAAGATTTTGCACGAGCACCTTTGCGTAAGGAGGATAGTTTTCCGCTGGGTGCCGCACAACTTCACCGAAGCTCAGAAGCAGGCCCGTGTGGATTGGTGCAGTGATATGATATAAAAATTGGATGCAGGCTCGTCGTGGCGCGTTTACGATATTGTGACAGGTGACGAATCCTGGATTTATTAATACGATCCAGAAACAAAGCGTCAATCGACAGTTTGGCTGTTTCAAAATGAACCACCAAAAATTTTAGTTTCTTCACTTTGACGGGGTCCCTGATTTCAATTCCACTTCGAGACTAAAGGACTGGAAAAAATGATTTGAAAATTGGTTCAAACGCATGAAACTTTGTATAGAGGCTGGTGGAGAGTACTTTGAAAAGATTAAATAAAAATATTTTTTCAAAGAAGTTAGTTTTTTAGTTTCTCTCAAAACTTTCTGAGTGTCCCACGTATATATATATATATATATATATATATATATTCGCCTGAAGTGACACAAATCGCGAATTGCACTGTGGTCCAATCTTATATCTATCTTGGGGCCCTGATTTCAAACAATGGCGGATGCATCGATGAAATCAAACGACGTATGGGCATCACAAGATCAGCGATGGACAAGATGCGGAAAATATGGAGGAATAGAAACATTACTAAAGCCACAAAGACCAAGCTTGTGAGGACACTTATATTCCCCATATTTCTTTACGCGGCTGAGACGTGGACTTTGCGAGATGTGGAAAGGCAGAAAGTGGACGCTTTGGAAATGTGGTGCTGGAGAAGAATGCTTGGGGTTTCGTGGACCGAGTTTCGCACGAACGTCTCGATACTTCAAGAACTCGGTATCAGGCAGCGTCTATTTTCGACAGTACAATCTCGCATCCTAACATTCTTCGGACACGTTTCTCGGCGTAACAACCTATCCATAGAACGCCTTGTAGTCCAAGGAAAGGTGGAAGGTACTAGACCGCGCGGAAGGTCTCCCACGCGATGGACTGACCAGATCAAGTCAGCCGTTGGAGGTTCACTAAACGAGTGCAGCAGGGTGACCTCTAGCAGGCAGCAATGGCGAAACATAGTGAAGCGCATCACATCTGCCCCCTCCAATAATACTACAAGTGCATAGCGATCACGACCGC